CTAAAGATCAACCCTGCGACTAATATAAAGGTACGACTTATAATACGGTACTTGCTACTCTAGATTGGTTGTATATAACCTTGACAGTGACCCCTAAAGATCAACCCTGCGACTAATATAAAGGTACGACTTATAATACGGTACTTGCTACTCTAGATTGGTTGTATATAACCTTGACAGTGACCCCTAAAGATCAACCCTGCGACTAGTATAAATGTGCGACTTATACGGTACTTGCTACTCTAGATTGGTTGTATATAACCTTGACAGTGACCCCTAAAGATCAACCCTGCGACTAGTATAAAAGTGCGACTTATAATACGGTACTTGTTACTCTAGATTGGTTGTATATAACCTTGACAGTGACCTGGTTCTTTTCAAGGGTGATAATATTCGAAGTGTTCCTGAAGAGACTGCACCCTCTGTAACGACCCAGCGAAACGACAATCGGTTTGAGCGTAAGGAAGACCCGAGTGCGTCTCAGTGGGTGGAGACGAAGGTAGGTGGCGATTATTTTATACGTTTTTGATTTAGTGAATAATCATCTGTGTCGAGATTTCTATACACCAGAGGGCGCCACTCAACAACGGGAGAATTAAAAAATATCCAATAATGTTTCACAGCGTGTAATCTTGTCTGTTTTGTAATAAAAAAACATGTACACGCGGATTAGGATAATCTGCATGATTAACGTAGCATATCAAAGCAAGATAAACTAGCTAGATTTAACTTAAAATAACCCACAGCAACAGTAATATTTCATATGTAAGTAAAACGTTAGTGCGTAGGTTACTTGCTTACATTTTAGTTAACCAAAATTTACAGATCTGAAGCTGTGGAATAGTTCAGAAATTTATATAATTGTTTTTCCAATTTCCCAGGAAGTTGCAGACAACGGTACAGAAACGATCCAGTTGAATGATGGGAAATACTCTGTTCTTCAGTTTGCCCTCTTCAATTTTCGGGAAAGCTTGGACAAGTGAGTATGCAAGTGTTGAGCAAAACAACGAGGTCAGAATATTTAGTTTCTGTTCACCACCTATCGATATTAAAGTTTCTGAATTGCAACCGAATCTAGGCATGTTCAGGGCTGATTACACTCTGCTATAAAAGTTATGGTTAGGCATGTTTTGTGATTTATTATTTGCGTTGACTATATTTTCAATTTTGTTATAAAATGTTAGAATTAGGCTTGTTCAGCCGTACTGTTTACGTTGACTACATTTTCAATTTTGTTATAAAATGTTAGAATTAGGCTTGTTCAGCCGTACTGTTTAGGTCGACTACATTTTGTTATAAAATGTTAGAATTAGGCTTGTTCCGTACTGTTTACGTTGACTACATTTTATTATAAAATATTAGAATTAGGCTTGTTCAGCCCTACTGTTTACGTCGACTACATTTTGTTATAAAATGTTAGAATTAGGCTTGTTCAACCCTACTGTTTACGTCGACTACATTTTGTTATAAAATGTTAGAATTAGGCTTGTTCAGCCCTACTGTTTACGTCGACTACATTTTATTATAAAATGTTAGAATTAGGCTTGTTCAACCCTACTGTTTACGTCGACTACATTTTGTTATAAAATGTTAGAATTAGGCTTGTTCAGCCCTACTGTTTACGTCGACTACATTTTATTATAAAATGTTAGAATTAGGCTTGTTCAACCCTACTGTTTACGTCGACTACATTTTGTTATAAAATGTTAGAATTAGGCTTGTTCAGCCCTACTGTTTACGTCGACTACATTTTATTATAAAATGTTAGAATTAGGCTTGTTCAACCCTACTGTTTACGTCGACTACATTTTGTTATAAAATGTTAGAATTAGGCTTGTTCAGCCCTACTGTTTACGTCGACTACATTTTATT